GCAGTTAAAAATAAACGTAATACATAAAATTTTGGAGGTTATATGACCATTTAATAAAGCCTTCGCCATGTTTTCTTCATAAAAAAGCATTATTTTTAATTTATTTTATTTAATTTTTTTTCAAAGAAAAGATCTGCATAAAATTAGCCAATCATTTTTGTTTTGTTTTTTTTCTAAAAGATTTCTAGATTGTCTATCCTTACAGTATTTGGAAATTCCATATTTGGTAATAATCCTGACTGTAATAACAGTTGATTTCTTTATAGCAGAGAAAGTTCATCCAAAATGTCCGAACAAAAAAATTCCCTTGTCAAGATTGTTCCTACTTCCGATATCAATAATTCTTCTCTCAAATACAATATCCTTGTCTTTAAAAATGATTCCTTCGAAATAAATGGAAGATATTAGGACGATCCTCATCTTCGTGGGCCCGGTAGATCTATCTTTGATTTTTCCGATTTTTATAAGGTGAGCGTTCTCACTGGACATGTTGTTGAGTTTTATATTAATGAAGTTACGCTGGCTAGAGACCTGGTAACGGTTCCAGGATAACGCTCTAGTTGAATAGTTAATATCCTGATATATTGTGATAATGGTTTCATGAGTGGTATCGGTTAAACACTATGAAATATCATGTTTTCATTATTTTTTTTTTTTATATATATTATAGTTAGCAGATATCCAAAAAGGATTGAAATACGAGTATATGCTTTACAAACAGATTGAAAAGAACAATGTCTTGAGTTATTCTAATAAAACTCAATTTTACGTTGATGGAAATTGGATTAATATAAGTGACGGGAACATAGACCTTCATGGTAATTTCAATAATTTTGAATACGTTATTCAAGCAAAATGGAAATCATCAAATCAATTTATTATTGTAGAAAGAAGTTGAAAGATTTATTGGTACAATGGTTGATCAACTTAATAAATTTGGTTTTTTTGTTTCAAATGTTGGATATTCTGAAAAAGCCATTAATCGTGTTAGAAACTCTTCAGTAAAAAATATCATCCTATGTTCAGAAAATTATTTTGATCGAATTAATCAAACTATTAGAATCACAATTTAAAAATAAAAATAATAGAAAAATTATAGATCCATCTATCTATGATGAAATCACCATTGATAATTTAGAAAAAGATTCTAATCTACCTATTACAAAAGATGGTACAATTAACGTTGCTGGTAAATGCAAAATGATTTTAAGAAAACAAAGATTCACCCCTTATTGAAAATAAAATTTGTATGTGAGATTTATTAGAATTTGTTTTTTTGAATTCATTTTGATTATTGGTTTTTAAAGAAAAATGTCTAAAATAATTTTTTTGATTTTCTGTTAGAGAGAAAAAATCAACTATTCAATAAAGTCACGGTGTAATGATTGACAAAAATCATACAGAAAAAAAGATCGTACGATTTTATTAAAAAAATCATTTAATTACTAATATATCTTTATGATAAACTAGCAATCTTGAATTCATTCAAATCCAAATTCTATTATCCATCATATCAGAAAAAAAATCACATATAACAATTATAGATTTTAAGTAAACTATCAAATAATTTTTATGTTGGAATTGTTATAATAAATAATAAATATATTAATATATTTAAATATAAGAGACAAAATCTATCGGCATAGATAATGATATTAATATAAATATTAGTGAAATAAATTATTAGATTGAGTTAATAAGATTTTGCTAATAATAATAATTGAATTAATCCATATACTGACTGATTATTTTTTCACATTACTCCTTCTTTCCAAAAAAAATTATTAAGATTTTAAGTTAAACGTCACGGCGAGTGAGTGGTGGCACATGCACGAATTTATTTGTAAGTATTTTAATATAAATATTAACAAAGCAATAATAATAAAACAAAAACAGGACAAAATGACAAATTTTTTTTCTTCTCAGGAGCAGTAAACGTCGATTAACTAAATAATAATATATTAATATTAATATTAAATGGCTTGCTTGATAAACCTTTTTTTTTTAATATATATTGCAAAAAAAAAAAATACAAATGCAGTGGCAAGAACATAGCGGGCTTTCCCTGTGATTGGCTTATTTCATTTTGTGTAAAATGACGATCATTACCAAAATAAATTTTTT